TTCTGCTAAAAATTCACCGCTGTTTACCAAATTTGTTTTATAACTAAAGCAGTATTATACAGTGGTTTTCGAGCCACGCGAAATGACCAGAGACCATTTACAGCGCATTGTTGAGATTCTAAAACAAGGCATTATAAACTTAAATAACTCGCAACAGCAGTTTAGTACTTCCAAAACTGTTCACCAGATATAACAAAAAAATAAGGGAAAATCCACTTGAAGTTGCCGGGAAAAATGGCTTTTTAATGCGATTTTAGCGACCATTAACAAACTTGCAATTTTGACTTTTGCCAAAACCTGATGGAAAGACTAAGAAGAACAATTTTCTTACTACCTAACTGCTAGCTTGTATTATTCAAACAAATTTTCAGCTCTTTTAAAAGACAAAATTGTGAAAGTCAAAAAACTACTAACTAAAATTGTATGATTACAGCTGAAAGGTGTAGTCGTTTTAAGATGTTGCTATCATTCTGTAAAAGTATCATAAGAGGTTCATTACAGAACAAAAACCAATACTTAATTTATTTTGAAAACTGAAAACTATTTATAAATGCATTTTCGTTTAAGAGCTTTTCATTATTGACCAATGTCTGCTTGGCACAACTTTGTGTCAATGCTCGAACAATTATATTTATGACTGATCGTTTGGTGGCTATATTCAACTTTTTACACCTGCTTTATGTTGTATTTAGTGATTTTTTTACTTCGGCATTTCCGATCTGTAAAATAATATTTAAAAAAAATCAGCTTAAATAATACAGATGAACGGTTGAACAAAAAACGAGTCACTCTTCGCTTTTTTTCACCTTGGTACTTTTGGTTCACGAAGAAGTATAACCGCTGCAAAACTAAGATCCTTTACCCTTACATTATCTAATTATCGTTTCTCAGTTGTTTATGTTTTGTTTGGAAATGAAGTTGACAGGACGAGGACAGCTAAAACTTTCATCAGTTGTTCCAATTATGCTCAAGAAAATAGCACGGTCTACTTATCAAATTTTTGCTGATAAGCGTACAAATAAGGTCTTAAATGGCTTAGGGAATCTGGCATGTAGAGAAACAGAAGGCGGGGTGAAACCTGATATTTGTTTTTTAATCTTTAAACAGATCATCATTTTATTATTACTATTGCTTATATATAATTTTTTTCTCTTCTTCTGCAAATTACTTATTATTTTAACTTATTCAAACTTTTTTTACTACTCAACTTTAGTTACTCTAAAAAGTAACATGGAACAGACCAAGGAGAAAAATACAGGTTTTTTTAGACAGAACAATCATCGAATCTTTTGGTCTTGGGTTAGTTTATAAAATCTTTCGTAAATAAAGGTAAATGCATGACAATTGCTTTTTTTACAGTTTATTTATTTATTTATTTTTTTTGAAGAAATAAAAGATTAGTTTTTCAATAGCATTCTAAATATAGGCAAATAATATTCAACCTTGAAGCAGAAGTTGAATAAGACGTCTGAAATAAATCTGCTGCAAACACTGAATTCTTTGATCAAAAATTTGAAAAGGAAAAAAGATAAAGATTCAAATAGTTCATTGTTTTCGTACGAAAAAATTTGTCAAATCTATCAGAAGTGCTAAAAACAGAGGCTTCACTTTATTTTCCGACCTTTAGCATTTGATTATCTCGAACACTTATATTAGATTAAGGGTCAATACCATTAATTTACAACATCTACATCTTTGAAAAAAGTTTTATTTCAAAAGTTATTTGACAATTTTTGTACTAACAAGTTTGAAAACTAGAGTACAGATAAACAAACAAAATTCGACAGCTTTGGCTTACAACTTCAAAACTTAACAGACCTTTAACTAAGTTGTATGCAGCTTTAGACAAGGATTTTTTTCTATGACTTCTTAGCAACATTTTTGTCACCACTTTCTTTTTGATAGTATTCTTAAGAAGACTGAAATTTTGCTTGACTGCTTGGTATTTTAAAAGCAGTTTTAGAAAAATATCCCCGTGTAACAGTGCAATTGTCCAAACGGTACTCCTAGACTTAAAAAGAAAAAAGAATCAATTCTAAAAATTCTACTACAGGAGCCTGAGTTGATAAAAAATATTTAAAAACTCACTTGTGTAAAAAAAAAAA